TTCTTCTCCCGAATTCTATATACTACTCTCTACGTGTATCTACTGCTGGATCCTCTGCTCAAGTTCAGAGCAATCCTCACTTTCATGAACTATCATCAATAAGAATAGCAATCCTATCTCTATTACAACTCTATTGTCTAGTGTCCTCGACTGTCCCTCAAATCCTTTACAGACAATCCTCGAAGGTAATTTTGGGAAAAGAAACGCATCAATCAACAAAATTTGCTACAATACGGGTATTTGTTCCTACAAGCATAACCTCTTCTTCCTTGAGCTGTCTGGAGGTGTCATTGCCACCAACCAAAGCACGTTACAATAATAAGAGGCGCAATAAATATCTTTTTCAACAGTCTTGGACGAAATACAAAATGGCTCCGTTGCTTCAAAGATTATAGGCAGACACCATGCCCGTGAATCCTTCATTACTTTAAAATAGATGAGAATATCAGAATAAATGTGTGTCTATAGTCTTATTGAAAGATTTATATTACAGGGAAAGACAAGTACTGCAAGTCACAAGCGTTCGTCGTCACAAGTTGTTGCAAACAAGAAGCAATCCTTGTCATTTCTTCCAAGCGCCAAGTTGGGCAAAATTGGTGCATTGGGATGCCGTCTTTGGGAACTCTAATAAAAGGACCTCTTGGGAAAAGGTGCCAATGAAAGGGACCTCTTGGGAGAAGGTGTCAAAGCCAATGCAAATAAAAAGGATCTCATTGGCTAGTTGTAATGGAATTCTGCTTATGTATGCGCTGGTTTTGTTCCAACTTGCAACATGCGTAACGTGACTGACTGGACTGCCGAGTCCCGAGCAGATGTATTAGAGCGATCGAAGGCCAACGGTCATTGCCGAATATTCAGCCCATGATCAATCATCCATCATCTACTCACAGCTGCTTCAGACCCCCGTAAATACACCCCAATAGCAATATCAATCACCGTCTATCATGTCCAACAGTAGCTACATCAATGCACTAGTACGCTCTCTCTACGATGAGAGCCAGGAGCACAACGATAGCACGTTAAGCATGTCGATTCTCATCAGCAATCATTATTTTGGAGATCCACAATATTTACACGCCCCTTGGGACTCTTTTGTGAGTCCTTTCCTCACGGGACTGCCGCGATGACTGCCGCGTCGCATCACAAATATGAAAAAAACAAAAAAAGAAGCGATCCTTTCAACGAGAAATCGTATTGGGTCAATGGAAGCCACATAGACAAAACCATCACCTACAACCAGTATACCATCGATACTGCCGTTTTGGCTCCAACTACAGAGTCTCCGGAAATTAAGCAAGCGATCCTACAACAGTCTGTGAACTCCATCAAGCAGACAAAGACAACAATGGAACACAAGGTGGATTTCTTGATGGAGCGCTACACATCAGTATGGCCAGACGTTCGCTCGCGAGTCAACGCCGCCACCAGCGAATTGTTCAACGTGACTAGCGACGTGTACGAATTCACAAGCCTACACGTCATCGACAACACAGGACAAGCGATCGCTACAGGACCGGGACCAGGACTTCCAGCCCCATTTAGAGCCGCCGCCACATACTTCAGAATCGAGCTCCGATTGGTCCCACGGCTCTGTTCCCTACGAACTGACATTGGAATCAACCCAACAAAGTTCCCGCCATCTTCCAATAGAGCTGTCTATGTTCCAGTGCCAAGAGTCCAGAACCAGATGGATGTATCCATCACTCGCCAAATGATAATGGGTCAAGCACATCACAAGAAAATCATGGCAGAAATGGCAGCACTAGGAGAAGAATTCTCGATGAGAGCCGCGACCAGAGACGGAGAACCCGATAACGAAGCCTACGAAAAGTGGTCCAAGCAACAGATTGCAAAGACCCAATTCCAAGCGCTCGAACAAGCACTCACGGCCACCTACGTCGGACTACAACAAGGAATGGAGACGCCAAACCAACAACTGGCAAAGCCCAACATGATCCAATACGAAGGAGGTACGATGATGTACGACAGCGTGGCTACTTTATTTGGCAGAATTGCCACGATTCTAAATGGGTTCAACCACGAGAATCCCCCACCAACCAACCTATCAGACTTGGCAGGAGTAGCGTTCCAAGCCTTCACACAAGAAATCAAGCACGTTGTGGCTGAATACCTAGAGACGGGAGCAGCAGGACCACTACTTATGGACTACCCCAGCAATTTGTCTCGAATGCACCGCCTACGCGAACAAGCAGAGAAAGAAGAGAAGGGCATCAAGCAACTCATGGGAATTGCAAACAGCGCGGGACAAATCAGACCCAACAGAAGCTACGTTCCGGGACGATCCGCACCACCAAGACCAGGAGGAAGAGCCTTCGCGGGATTCCACCGACCAGAATTCCAAGGATTCCAGGGATTCCAAGGATACCAAGGATACCAAGCATTCCAGGACGATCGCTCCTTCCAAGCTCCAGAGATCGAGACCGTGGGAACCTTCCACACCGCAATGACGCCCCCTCCAACTATGGCGGCAAAACAAAACGTTCAAGTCACCGACGGCCAAGGAAGACAATTAGTGGTCCCAACATCCGACAGCAAACTATACTGCCCGGAAGCGGTTGTCAACATGCTGACATGCATGAGTATTATGGAGGAACTCGGACAACAGCAGGAAGAAGAAAATGGGTGGACAATGCTCAGCCAAGCGGAAGAAGCACTGCAAAAGGCAAGCGGCAAGCCATACCCAATCTACTGTTGGGGATGCAACGAGGAAGGCCACAACTTCAGAGACTGCCCACACAAAGAGGACCCCCAAGTCCAAGGATACCAAGGATTCCAGGACAATCGCTCCTTCCAAGCTCCAGAGATCGAGACCATGGGAACCTTCCACACCGCAATGACGCCCCCTCCAACTATGGCGGCAAAACAAAACGTTCAAGTCACCGACGGCCAAGGAAGACAATTAGTGGTCCCGACATCCGGCAGCAAACTATACTGCCCGGAAGCGGTTGTCAACATGCTGTCGTGCATGAGTATTATGGAGGAACTCGGACAACAGCAGGAAGAAGAAAATGGGTGGACAATGCTCAGCCAAGCGGAAGAAGCACTGCAAAAGGCAAGCGGCAAGCCATACCCAATCCACTGTTGGGGATGCAACGAGGAAGGCCACAACTTCAGAGACTGCCCACACAAAGAGGACCCCCAAGTCCTAAAACGTTTCTATGAAAAACTGGACCAGTGGAAGCAACAAAAGAACGAAGAACGCAATCGAAATAGAAATAATAATTCCCATTATAGACGAGGAGGATATATGACCCAAGCAATCTGCGATACAGTTCGAGCCATTGAGGATTCACAGACAGAATTGGGGGAGAGGACAAACCTGTTGGTGAATCTTGTCGAAGCGGTCACGGCCCACACTTCCACATCAGCAGCAAGGAAAAGACCAAAACGAGCCGCAACCCAGCCGGCACTATCATTCGTCACCTTTGGAAGCTTTGCGGCCATGGAACAAGCCCACCAGCTGAACTTCTCGGTCAATGACATGCTGGCATTTTTGAACTTTCCCATTGGTCTCAACGAATCCAACACAGCCAATTTGAAAGGACTCTACGACACCGGAGGATGCTGCAACATGGGCAAGAAAGACTACCACCTGGCCTGGGAAGAAATGGCACTTCCCAAGCCACGCTTGGGGCCCAGGGCCTCCTTGAAGGCCTAGTGTCCCCCAACTGGAGACACCTGCAGGCCCTTTACTTCTCCTACATTGGCTCCAAGAAGTCTGCCAACCTTTGGGCCTCCCGCCTGATCCAACAACTGATCCGGATCGGGCACTACATGTGGAAAGACCGCAACCGTCTTGCCCACTCTGAAGACAGCTCCTGGTACACGGCTCGCAAGCGGGAGATTGACATTGGAATCCGCGAACAGTTTGCCATGGGCCTGATGGATATCCCACGCTCGCAGTACCTCTTTCGGGACTCCCGCAAAACTGTCCTCAACAAATCACTCGAAGATCGTCAACATTGGCTGCGCCTTGTCTCCCGTGAGAGAGCGATCAACCGTCGCTCTGTCCTGCAACCCACGATTGGATGTTTGAAGAACACGGAAAGACAGTAATCAAACAAAAAGCACCAGTGCAGAGGCGTGCAGACATGATAGAATGGAATGCAGACAAACACTTGGAGGAAGTCGAGTCACAGGTGCAATACAGAGATTGTCCGAGCGAATGGCAGCCCATATTCGACGCAATCTTGAAGGAATACTGGGACGTCTTTGCCAAAGAAGGGATGCAAAAACACATCCTAGGCTACGAATTCAACATCGACACAGGTACCATTCCCCCCGTGTGCTGCAAACAACCGAGATACGGACCACACGAAAGCCGGGTAATGACAAACCTAGTGGAGCAACTAGAGAGCAAAGGACTCATCGAGGACAACTTTGGGCCATGGTGAGCGCAAGTAGTCCTGGCAGCAAAACCAAACCAAGGGCATGTCCACTGGTCCCAATACATCTTCCGAGTATGCGTGTCATACCGCAAACTGAATGCAGTCACAAGACCATTCCACTTCTACATCCTGAGATGTGACGATGCAGTGGATACAGTTGGAGATGCAAAGTTTTTCATCACAATGGATTTGGACGCAGGCTACTGGCAGATCAAGATGGCTGCCTCATCAAAAGAGAAAACGGCGTTCTTCGTACCAGATGGCAAGAAGCACTTCCTAGTGATGCCAATGGGGATACTAAGCGCCCACGCATTCTTTGTCTGTGTAACCATTCAATTCAAGAAAGAATGGCACGAGTTGTACAAACGAGACCCAAAAGCAGCACTACAAAAACTACTGGACATCATCAACAAGCACAGAGCGGCCATCACGCTGATCCTGGGCGAAAGCACCGTCAAGGACATTGAAGCAAAAGTGGCGATCGCTCTATTAAAAACAGACCCAAATGCATCAGTAATCGTCGACAACATCATGCTCTTTGACACCAACATCTTATCACTGATCACATACTTTCGATACCGAGTGACCGTCAACCTAAGAAAAACGAGGTTCCTACCAGCACGGGCAGAATTTGTGGGACGTGGCCTACTGCCCAACGGAAACACCCCGGCACAATCCAAGTACTCAACGATCGAAAAGCTATGCCCACCAGCATCATACTCGGACATCCAGATGATCAACGGACTATTTGGATGGTATTCCCAATGGATACCACATCTAGAGGAAAAGATCCAACGATGGAGGACCATGGTGATGGACAAACCAAAGCCCGGAGAATGCACAAAAGAAGAGGAAGCAGAACAAGTGAAAGCACAATGGGAGTCACAGGACGACGAAAGGCTGGACAAACTCAAGCAAGCTATTGTCACAGGACCAATATTGAAGAGACCCAATCCAAAGAGACGATTCTTCTTGAAAACGGACTGGCCAAGCAACGCCATGGGAGCGGTCCTCCTACAAGCGGGCACGACAGAAGAAGCAGAAGAGTCAATGAGAAAAGAGATCGAAGGAGGAAAATGCAAGTTTGACAAATCAATGTCAAAACTCAGACTCAGACCCATAGCATTCATATCAAGAATATGCAAGGGCAAAGAGCGCGACTACCATTCCTTTGTGGGAGAAGCAGCAACAGGTCGATGGGCGATGAAGAAGTTCCGACAATGGCTCATCGGAAAAGAATTTACGTGGATCACGGACTGCAGCGGACTAACCAAGTTCTTTGAAGGCGAATACGACATCACACACACACTGCAACTATGGAAACTAGAGCTATTGGCATTCATCTTCACTATAGTTCACCGACCAGCAAAGATGCTCACAGAATGCGACCTCTTGTCAAGATACGAGGGCATACTAAGCACGTGGAGGAATACGGAAGAAGCCCACACAGACAACCCGATCATTGCGGCGGCATGGAAACTCAGAGAAGACGAAGCACCGCCCTGGCCCAGACAGCACCTACTACCCACTGTGAAAGGCGACCGGATTACAACACGAACAGAACTAGCGCAAATATGCGACACAGCAAGAGCAACATGGATCATTGGAAGATCCCTAGACACCATTGCGGACAGCTTCGAACAACTTGGAGGAACCATCATGCTAACAGCTAGCACCAGCGAGGAGGAATATTGGCAGCTACAACACGACATACCAAACATTGAAACATTTGCCAAAAGGCTGGTCAACAACACAGCACAACCGCCAGTAGAATGGTTGATTGTAACCAACATGGAAAAATACAACTCAACAACCTCGGAGGCCCTTCGCACCATCATCAGAAAAGCAACAACACAGGGAGCAACACAATGCATACTCATGTGGACAGGAAAGCCACCCGGCAAGATCATCGACAAATGGGAACAATACATCAAAAGAGAAACCAGAGACAGAACCGACCTACAAACCGCGACACGCACAGCCAGAGGCAGCACAGCACAAGCAGACATAGACACCGAACACACCATCATACTCACAGCCGGGAGAAGAGTGACGGAGGCATGGAGCAGAAGTTTAGTCGATGAAGATCCATACGCACAGCCAGGAACAATCGAAAACGCTATGGACGCACCAAACGAAAGCTACACGGGATATTTCGTGGCAAGGCTAGGACAAAACAGAGTCCACATGGTCAACTCACAAGGACACACACAAAGAACATGAGATCTACGATACCACCAAAATCTCCCCCAGCTTCCACACAACACCCATGATCTCAGCGTAAGGCACAATAGTAATTGCAACCAACGACACAGAGGTAACATCACCGGTCCGAACGATCAGACCTTGGGAAGCCCTCAGCCTGTTTGGTTTCACAAAAGAGGACAGCAGAAAACTGTTGTTTGAGGAGAAACTCAGTTGGAGAGAGACAAAAGAGACAATGAAGAGCATGGCACCACAACAGGTGTGGCAGCAAGTGTTCACTTACAGCATGTGCAAAAACATTCAGCGACAACACCTATCGGACAAAACAGAACACAAATTCTTGACAATGTACGCAAGACCAAAACATGCTAAGAAACACCTAACAGCGATAGTCAGCAGATCCATCAACCCATTCACAACGCTACCGATCCCAACAGGAGAAGACTGGCGAGAGAAATGCAACGGAGACCCAGACATCAGCCACATCATCAAGGCAATCCGCAACAACAAAAAGGTAGACAGATCAAAGCTCACAAACCCAACGTATGCCTCAGAACTCAACAGAGGTAAGCTAGAGATTGAAAACGGCATCCTAGTATACCAATTCAAAGAACCGAAGTTGGCACCAATGCGTCAACTACGACGAGCGGTCGTCCCACCAAGATTGAGAGCCACAATCATAGCAGCATACCACGCATCACCAATGGCAGGATGGCAAAGGATATCAGAGAAGCAGTCCTAGGATGCGGACATTGAAAAGATTCTACACAGACCCCAATAGAAGAACCATTTGACGTATGTTGCATGGACGTTTGGTCGCCAGGATCAACAAAGGACGCTACCAAACTGTCCACAACTTTGAGGAAGACACTCACAAACAAAGGAGTAGTCACGTACGTTTGCAACATGACAGGTTGCGCCACGGTCGCATTCATCAGCTCCATGAACTCAGGGAACATGGCCAGAATAGCATTCTCGCAATTCTTCACCGTCAGAGGCCTGCCACGATTGATCCTCATCGACGAAGGCAGCGAAAACAAAGATCAATTTACAGCCCTATGCGACACGATTGGAATTGCATACCACACGGTCAGTCCGGAAAACCACGACGGAATGCTATGTGAAAGATTCCACAAATACCTCAACAAAGTGCAACGAATCGGAGCAGCCGACATGAACACGTACAAAGAATGGGCAATGAACACCATGTTTGGAACATACGCATGGAACGCAGCCCCAGTAGATGGCACGGATATCCAACGAGCATTCGCAGCAGTGGCACGACACTTCAAATTCCCACTAGACAACGCAGCAGCGGCACTGTCAATATCGGAGGCGCGTCAGAAAAACAGGACACGACACCAGCAAACGCCAGGACAGAACACATTAGAGCACATCGAGACAATGTTCCCACTCTTCTGAAGACAAAAGGAACTGCTTAAACTTCTCAATGAGGAACGAAGGGAACACCACCGAATGCTCAAGAATCAAACCAGAACGCGACGGAAATTTGAAATTGGAGATATTGTTATGGTGCGGAAACAAGTACAATCAAACGCCTCTGTAGGAATACCAGCAAAACTGGTGCTACGAACAAAAGGACCCTATAGAGTCATCGAGAAAGCGTCAGAAGACTCGTACAGACTACAAAAGATCCCAGGGACAAGCACCATGCTAAAGAAGCGAGGATCAACCCCAATCAAAGAATCAGCATTCAGAATGCACAAGATCCCATTGACGATAATACTGCTACACAAACGAGTGGACACACCAGATACAAGACTAGCAAACATGAGGAGCCCGCTAGCACACAGCCCCCTGGAAATGAATCTAGGACTGGTTGATTTTGGTAAATACGCGACAACACCGACAGACACAG